GGGGAGGGGTTACTTGACAATTAGAAATATTTTCTTGTAATGTAGATAATAACCTCGTTGCAAGATAAATCGAGTTTGCTGTTGTCTTGATGTTGATGATGGTGATGTTAACTTTGTCTATCCATTTGGATGATGCTATGGGTGAGGGGGCCCATGGGAGAGAAGAAGAAAGGAAAACATACATAGGGATGGACAGGGAGAGAGAGAGAAAGAGAGAGACAGACAGAGATGTACAGACAGACAGACAAACAGACGGACTGACAGAAGGGAAAGGGATGGGAAGAGAGGGATGGAGTTTGTTTGTTGTATGTTAGGTGGAGGATTGTATGTGTGTGTGTGTGTGTTTATGATTTTTGTACAAGAAATTTTCCTTTCTGTCGTTCGCAACCAGAATGAATTTGTCGATGTTACGCAAATAGAAGTTCTCATTATTACCTCTGCTGTCGCCCTCGACAAGGCACCGCCAACCAGAAGGTCTCACTTCTTTTCTTTCTCCCTTTTCTTCCTTTTTGTTTATCTACCTTTATTTGTTCTGGGCTCCTCACCATTATTGTGCCGATTTGCATCTCTTTACTCTTGTTCGTGTTCTTTCCCATCCCCAGGCCACGCGTGAGATCCGCGGGTATCACTCCGCCTACAAGAACTTCCGCGCCTACTGGGTCTTCGTAGCCACCTGGGAAGATGTTGGATTTTATGGGGCGCACAAGGAGGGACTGAAAAAGGTCGGTGTCTCTTTATGTTTGGATCTTTAGCTCCGATTTCAGCATACTTTACCTTTTCTTTTACTTTTCCTTTTCCAATCCAGTGGCCATCTGAGTTCTAGCCCTTCTATGTAGCCGATTTCAGCGTACTGCAAGCCAACTCGGCAGGCGTCATTTTGGGCTATGGTGCAGATGATCCTCGAACACAGTCGTATTAGGGCTTTCTTGAGCTTATATCGTGTAAGGTTCAGGGATGTTATAATAAATCTCAACGGACATTCAGACATCTTGCATTATTTGTGGTTGATGGATAGAGAGCTTCACTGATCACTCCTTCTTGTGTTCTTTCCTTCTGTACTTACTTATTTACTTACTTTATCTTTCCTTATAGTAATATTGTTAAATAAATTTAAAAATCAACATCAATTATTAAATGAAATCTGATTCTTGTTTTCCCATCTGGCAGAGAAACACATTCCAAGCCGTGCTGGTTCTGGACAGCACGGGCACGCTGTCGTTCGTTATCCTCAACTATGCCAAGATCGAGTGGACCACAGGATCCAACAGCCAGGGCAACCCGACCACCGGCCTCGGCGGGAACCCCGCCCAGGTATGGCAGGTAGATATGGCGTAAGATATGGTCGGTTGTCTCCCCCTGGTCTGTTTTTTTTATTAAAATTTTTTTTTACATTTTTTTTTCTTTTTGCTTTAAAATAAATGTAGTGCATCCGTGTTTTGTTTTTTTTTTGCGTTTTTTTGTTTTGTTTGTTTGATTTTATTTTTTTTCTAGCTTTTTTAATTTCGATTTGATTTCGTAGATGTAGATCTAGTATTGGTATTTTTTTGAAAATATATGTGCATTTATTTGTTTGGTTTTTTTTTTATTTCGTTTTTATTTATAGCTTCACATATTCACGCCACGCTTAGAAAATAGATTTTGCACACTGCTTTGGCATGGTATATGGAATATGTAGATATATGCTAAAGCTGTTTATTCAAGGTATATAGGTTAGTAGTGTTCGAAAATGTAAACCTTTCCTTTTTTCTCTAAGATTCCTGGTATCCTTGTAAATTAACAGGAAATGCGTTGAACTATCTGTTTTTAAAAAAATAGAAGAACACGTAGATCTAGTTCTTATTCTAAATTTATCAATAGATCTGTGTCGACTTTTCTCACCTACCTAATCAAGTACAATCTCTCATTTTGAGGATAGTTTTCTTGAGCTAGTTGAATTCGAGTTTTCTAGGTTAAGGTTTTACGTTTGGTCTCTGATCTATGCTCGGTGCAACTGCTCTATTTATGAGCATTAGACAGGGAGGTACTTGTAATAGTGAGTTCAGAGTTTTGACCACCCCGAAAAATGCATTCTAGATGTCTGCGGACTGTGTTCATGGTCCACGAAGTTTGATGTGCTGATGAGTGACCTCACTGGGCAGGAATTAAAAAGAGATTTTAATTTTAAAGTACTTTTTTCCCCCCTTTTTTTTCTTTTCTTCTTTTTTTTGGGGGGGGGGTGGTGTTTTATTTATTTTTATTTTTTTTCAAGCGGAGTACATTAGTAGATTATTAGGTCCTTGAAGCTTTCTACCCTGATTTGTGCCCAGTTTGGTCAAGAGTGTGTCAGATGATGTAGATTGTTATGAATACAGTACTAGAACACTGCTTCACATGGGAACAATGCCCCCTGTCCCCACTGCATGCACATAGCACATTTTAGCACAATATAGCACATAGCACAATATTATATGGCAGTGCACCAGTGCTTTCTTCTGCAGGCCACAACAAAGCACTTTGTTGCACATACACACACACACCACACACACACACACACTCATACACACACACACACACATACACACACTCATACACACA